TTAGAATTAATGGAGAAAATTCGGAATTATAATTAAAGAGAACAAAATAATTCATGCCATGAATATTCTAGATAGAGAAATTGTTCATCAGCATTATCATAATCAATAGATTTTGAGAAGCAGCAATCAGATTATCCAAGTTTTAGAAATTCTAATACAATTAAGAAATAACCAAAATTATAGATTGATTATAATTGTTCTTCTGAGAATTTGACAGAAATGTTATATGAAGCATTGGGTGATTAAAATTATGATTATTTTTGAATTATCACTTTAAAATACTTTTGAAAATGTATAAATATTAAATATATAAATAATATATATATATATGCCTAAAATTAAAACTATTCGAACAAAGAAAGCCCCTGATGGATGGGACTTGATTGAACCAACTATTACAGAAATTGGAAATCAAATAAGAGATGTAGAAAATCAAGCTTATAGTGATAAGAAAAAGCCAGAGCAATTCTGGGAAATTTACAAATTGCATCACTAAAGGTAAATAAATATTTAAATATAAAGATCACGTTATATTTATGAAATGTACTATTACAAAAAAGAAATATCAAGAGAATTATATGAACATTGCTTATAAGAGCAATATGGAGATGCATCATTAATAGCAAAATGGAAAAAGACAGGTTATGAAAAATTATGTTGTTTGCGTTGTATTTCAAAATCTCAACATAATTTTGGAGGAGCTTGTATTTGTAGAGTTCCAAAAGCTAAATTAGAGGAAGGTAAATTAGTACAATGTAAATAATGTGGATGTAGAGGTTGTGCTAGTGGAGATTGATAAAGTTATCTATAAAATAGTAACATATAAAATTTATGTTTAAATAAAATTCATTCTGTAAGATAATTCCTAATTTTGAGAAATCACGTCATAAGGGATAAAATGGGAAGATTGCAAGTATAGGTGGATCATTAGAATATACAGGAGCTCCTTATTATGCAGCAATATCTTCTTTAAAGGGAGGTGGTGATTTAGCATATATATTTTGTACTAAATCTGCTGCAATTCCAATAAAGAGTTATAGTCCTGAATGTATAGTATATCCTTACTTATTGGAGGAAGGGGAAGAATAATAGTTAGATGAGATGATAAATAAATTAATATGTTAAACAAAGATTATGCATTCATTAATAATAGGTCCAGGATTAGGAAGAGAATAAATAACTAGTAAAATATTGGAGGAAATTTTTAAATAAAATAATAGTATAAAGATTTTAGATGCTGATGCTTTATGGCATATTTCATAGAAATAAAATAAATTAATTAGAATAATATAAGAAAAGAGTGAATAATTTATATTGACTCCAAATGCAATGGAAATAAAACGTTTATTGGAGTATTTTGAATTGGAATATATAAAGCCTGATTATGATAGGATAATTGTAAAATAGTAATAGTAATAATTTGATGATTATTAATAATAATAAAGGATGTAACAGGATGGATTTATAAATTACAAATAAATTGTAATCGATTGTGGCTATCCAGGATTGATGGCTGAATTAAGTAGAAAAATGAACAATGTTATAATTGTATCAAAGGGTTAGAATGATATTATAACAAATGGAAAAGTGGGATATGCAATAGATATGGTAGGATCAAATAAAAGATGTGGAGGTTAAGGTGATATATTGAGTGGATTGATAGGATTGTATTCTTATTGGGCTTAAGAATAAAATATAGATAAGATTGAGGGATGTATTTTAGGAAGTGTAGTTACAAGAGGTGCTGCAAAAAGGGCAGAAAATAAAGAGCATTTCTCATTGACTACTCCTAAAATTATAGATCATATTGGAGATACTCTTTATAGTATAGTTTGTGGTTAATGATTAATAATGTGTTTATTATATATTATTAACAATTATGGAAGACTTTGATGATATGGTTGATATGGAAATTATTAATGATTAAGAATTATTGGTTAATCTCAAAAAGAGATATTAGTTAAAAAAAATATTCACATATGTTGGACCTACATTATTAGTAATTAATCCATTTGAAGCATGTCCACATTTAATTAATCAAGAAACTAAAAATAAATATATATAATAAGCAATCAATAAAGAAAATAGAAGTACTTAACCTCCACATATGTATGCTATTGGAGCTGAAGCAATTAAATGTTTATTTGAAAATCAAAAAAATTAAGCAATTATAATATCAGGTGAAAGTGGAGCAGGAAAAACAGAAAATGCTAAATCATGTATGAATTTAATTACTAGTGTGAAATTTGAAACTCCAAGATAATCATAAGAAAAAAAAAATAGTATCAATAAATTCGCCATCGAAGATCGAGTAATTCAATTCCAATTTATTTCTAGATTCTTTCATGTAATCCTATCTTAGAAGCTTTCGGTAATGCTAAAACTTTGAGAAATAATAATTCAAGTAGATTTGGTAAATATACCAAAATCTACATCTCAAAAAAAGATAAGAAAATTAAAGGAGCTCAGATATATAATTACTTATTAGAGAAAAGTAGAATATGTTTGTAAGGAAAAGGAGAGAGAAATTTTCACATCTTTTATCATATTTTAAAGGGAATGCCGATAAATGAATTACAGCAATTATTCTTAAGTGAAAATGATTAGCCTATATAATTGAATAAAATATCATACATTAATACTATATAAGATGTTGATGGAATAGATGATAAGAAACTATATGATGAAGTCAATCAATCTTATAATTTATTAGGTTTAGAGTCTGATAAATCTAATATCCATTAAATAGTAGCAGCTGTATTACATTTAGGAGATTTGTAATTTAATGATGCTACTCTTACTGATGATGTTCCCTGTTAAATTATCACAGAAAATAAATTAGAATACTTATCTAAATTATTATAATTAAATATAAAAGAAATAAGTGAAGCTTTAATACTTAAATAAAGAATTATAAATAAATAAAAGATTATTTCTCCTGTTTCATATAATTAATGTATCTAAAATAGAGATTCATGGGCTAAAGAATTATTTGAACGATTATTCAATTGGCTTGTTTGTAAATTGAATTAGAATATCCTACCAGAAGAAGAATTTGATATTAATAATAATAATACATATATTGGATTGTTAGATATCTATGGATTTGAAGTTTTTGATAAGAATGGATTTGAATAATTAATAATTAATTATACAAATGAGAGACTTCATTAATTATATATTTAATATGTATTTAAAGGAGAAGAAATAGTATTTAAAGAAGAAGGACTTGATAAATTTTGTTAACATATCAAATACAAAGATAATTAAGCCTTAATAGATTGTTTAGATAAATCTCCATTAGGCATATTTGATATCTTAGATGAAGTATGTTAAGTAGGTGGAGATGATGATTTATTAATTAGTAATATAAGAAAAAAACAAAAAGATCCTAAATATGTTTTATAACCTAAAATGCCTTCAACCTAATCATTTATTATTGTTCACACTGCTAGAAATGTTGAATATTTGATTGCTGGATTTAGAGAAAAAAATGTTGATGAAATTAGTGTCTTAACTGCATTTTATAGTGAAAAAAGTGGTAATCCACTTATTTCTAAATTATTTACTGTTGAAGATAAATAAGTATAAACAGTTACTAAGAAAGATAAAAGTTTATCAAAAAAAATAAGAACATAAATGAATGATTTAATGAAAGAATTAACTAATAATTGTGATGTCCATTTTGTTAGATGTATTAAACCAAATGACCTTAAAAAACCATAATTATTGGAAGATGATTATGCATTATAATAAATAAGATATTTAGGTGTATTAGATAGTTTAAAGGTTAGAAAATAAAATTATCCATTTAGAAGATTGCATAAATAATTTTATAAATAATTTGGTGAAATAACATCTAATCCTCTTTTTAATATTCTTGAATAATAATCTGCTGATTTTAGAGAACTTAATCTATAATTGTTTTAATAATATTTTCCAAAACTTGGTCCTGAATTAGTCTTATTTGGATAAAAAAGAATATTCATTAGAATAGAAGGTATGGATATTATTCAACAGGTTTTTACTGAAATTATGGTAAAAAAGAGTAAGATTGCTTTAAAAATTTAATATAATTGGCATAAATATTTGATTAAAAAGAATCTAAAGAGAATACACGGTCATTATTAAAAGATCAAATTATGTAATTGGAGTAAAGCTCTTAAAGCATTTTAGAATTTGTATTATTATTAACTTAGATAATCAAAGATGAAATTATATTAAAATTAACTTGATAAGATTTTATAGTATGTATATAGATTGTAAGCAATTAATTATTTTGATAAAATAATGAATAATATAATAATTATTTAAAGATAGATTTAGAAATGGTTGTTTTTGAAAAGAATAAAAAAGTTAGTTTTAGTTAAATACAATATAAATTATATAATAGACAATACTTGGTAATCTATTAGGTTGAAAAAGGTTTTGGTGATATAGAGTTTTTTTAGAGGATAAAGAGTTAGAAGAATACATAAAAATGTTGTTATAAAATCTTAATAAGCAAGATTGAACAAAAGAAATGAACTTGCAGCAATAAGAATTTAAAAAAGAATTAAAGGCATTCAAGTTAGAGAACATATCAGAAAATTGAATAAAGCGGCTTTTAAAATTCAAGGTTTTGTGAAAATGAAATGGTTATCTACTACTTTTAAGTAAATAAGAATGAGTACAAGAAAGATTTAAAAATTGATAAGAATATATTTGATAAAATAACGAGCAAAAAATATAAAGAAAGAGAAATATTTGAAACCTTTAGAAGAGGAGATATAATAAATTATTAAGATTGAAGAAAATGATTTATTTGGAAATAATATAAATTAATTTAGTTTTGATTAAATATTGAATTAAGAAGATGATTAATTTCGAGATAAAGGATAATTATTTGATATAATAGTAGATTTAGAAATATTATCTGATGTTGGTTGTTATTCACCATCCTTTGCTTAAAATTATAAAGTATTATTTTAATAATGTTATAAAAATGAAAATATAATATAAAGTGTTAGAGTTGGTAGTTTTCATAGTATTGCATCTACAAATGCAAATAAATTATATGTTTGGGGTTTAAATAATGAAGGTTAATTAGGATAAGGAAGAGCGATTGATATTCCTTAATAACCATAATTACTAAATCTTAATGTGATAATGGATTAAATAGAATGCACAGACTTTAATAGTTATGTAAAATGCCATGATGGAAAACTTATCATTTGGGGTGCATAATGTTAAACTATTAGTTATGTTGATATTTAGCCAATTAAATAAATATCATGTAGATTTGATAGAACATATATAGTAACTCAATAAGGATAGATTTAATATTGGGATAGTGATCATGTTATTTAAAACATTGCAACCAATTCTCCTATCTCATAAGTTTCTATTGGTTTAAATTTTGTTGCTTTACTCACTAATTATGGATAAGTAATGGTGAAAGGAACAAATGAACACGGATAATTAGGTTTAGGAGATAATTTATTTCGTTAGGAATTAAACTAAATTAAAATTCCTTACAAAGCTAATTTAATTAGTTGTGGTTTAAAACATTTAAGTATTTAATGTTGTAATGGAAAGGCTTATGTATCTGGTTGGAATTTGCATGGTTAATTAGGATTAGGAGACTTATAAGATAGATGGAATATTGTATAATTAAAATAAGAGATTTAATAAATCTGTTGTAGTAGAACATCAACTATAATTCTTTTAGAAAATAAATTAATTCTCTGGTGTGGTACTAATGGTTTCTTAAAGTACTAAAATGAATTCGTTCAATTAGTTAAGAAAGTATGAATTTTGTTGTTATTATTAAAAGGTGAAGTATTTATAAAAATTGAATCCAGTACGAATTTAATGTTCTTATTCTAAAGTTATTAGCCTAATTAACATAACTTATGCTAAATTGGAAAAGATAAAATAACCAGAAAAGCTTAAAGGAATTTTGGGAACTTTAACTTAAAAATGGATTGAGTGTAACATTAATTCAATAGATCCTCCTATGATTGAAAGTGTTTCCAACTACTTGATGCATTATCATATGAAAAAGCCCACTTCTAACAACTCTTAAATTGTATTAAATAAAGTTTGTAGGAAATGAAAATAAATGTATCTTCATGTATATTTAATTTTTTACTTTTGATTGAGATTTTTGAAAAACATTTATTTTTTCTTTTTTTTTCTCCAGAAAATAATTCTGAAATCTTTTGAATAAATGATGACAAATCAATGCACTCTATTGGGTAAAATATGATTTTATTAGATTGAATAATAACTTCACAATGTCTATAATTCTTATATTCAATTTCTAATTCTAGAGAATTTGCGTTATCAACACATAATGACAAATCCCTTAAACTCAATAAAGGTGGAAGAAGGTTTAGAGTATAATAATTAAATATATCATAGTGAATAACCAATTGAATCTAAATCAACTATTGAGTCTGTTAAATAGTTTGCTGGTGATTTAAAAGCGTAGGTACCAATTAAGAAAACAAGACGCAAGAATGTCAGAAAAACATACAATAATGGTATTGAGAATATTTAATGAAAGGTCACTGGACCCAAAAGGAACATCGTTTATATTTGTAATTTATAGAAACAAATAAGGAAATAATGATGAAATCAGATATGAAAAAGCAAGAGAAGATTTTTAAATAGATGTCACTTGTAATAAAAACTAGATCACCATCGCAATGTAGATCTCATCATTAAAAATTCAATCCTTTCTGAGAATATCATTTATTATTCATTATTCATTATAAATAGTCGCTATAGAAAGAAATGATTCAAATTATTTTCTATTAACATCAGAATCATTAGAACCTTAGTGAAATTACATCATAGGCAAAGTTTATTATTGAGACATCATTTTCTAAAGTCTAAGTATTATTAAAGTGTTATATCCATAAACAATGGAATTACATAGTCCTAAACAATCAGCCATTATAAATCTAGATCCTCTTAATTATGTAATTTCATAGTTGCACAATTTTGCTATTGCATACACAGTCATTCCACTATAACAAATTAACATTATTATTGGATATAATAACATATTTTAAGTAATTCTTTAAGATAATTTAAGCTCGTATTCTTATTATGTATATAATTATTATTCTTATTAGTCAGAACTTCTTGAATTTAAATATTATTCTGATTTTGTTCTTAATTTTGTCATAAAAACACTTACTCTAATTATGAACGATATACCAGCAATATTAAGCAACCATAATGGAACATAGAATAAACAAATAGATTCTATTCTAATCAATTTTGGTTTTTCAACAACTAATTAACAATAATCATCCATATCATCGCTTCCTATTCCACATACAAAATATTAACTTTAATAAGATTTTGTTCCTAAAGGAATTAAGGCTATTAAAAATGGAATGCAGAATCCTATTAATTAGAATAGTCTTTAGTATTAGCTAAGATTGCTTCTATTTTTAATCACTGTCCAAAAAATGCATAAACATAAAAAAAAGCAAAAAAGGAAACATGCAAGAGAAGAATATTATATTAAAAATCCTTAAATTATACAAAGGATTTTATAATTTGGTTTGCATCCTTATAATATATTACATTTACCTGGATCAATGTACATTAAATTGGATATAGAAAATGTTATATCACTTATGGATAAACACATTATCAATTTTAAAGCAAAGTTTTTTCTCATTCCCATTTTGAAATAAATTACAATGATAAATAGAGATCCAACCAGAGACAATGAACATGCCGTAATTTAAAGTATTTTAATTGTTTAATCGTTCATAAATATAAATATTATATTTAATTTCAAAATATATTGCAAGAAACATAATCACTTTCTAATAAATCGATTTATTCATCATCTTCTCTTTCAGGTCTTCTGTAAATATCACTAATTTAACAATCTTCCTTAATTTACTCATAATCTACTTCATAAACTTATTATTTAGCTTCAATATATAAATTAAAGTACTTTAAATAGTATTATAATTTAGTGTCACTTATTTATCCTATGAATAGTCTTATTCTTCAACATATCTACTATTTCTACCTTCATATACTGTTTCTTTTTATTATAACTATTCATATTATGGTTAAGGTACAGCAGAATACTTTACTTCTGTAGTTTAAAATTAAGATGTTGTTGTTTCTACATTAATTCAATTAAACTTACCTCGTCCTCTTCTATATTTATCCATTACTTCCTTAACACTCTATCTATTAACTTCATATTGACTATTCTAATTATTCATTTAGTATTTATCAACTACTCTCTAAGATTATCTTGAAGCTTCTAAGTCATAATTACTATTTCTTCCCTCATTTTCCATTTATACATATTTAGATGTGATTACTGTTGTTTATTGATTATTTTATGTTTATCTTGGTCTAGATGATCTTCTTTATTCATATCTTTAAACAGCATCATGAAATTCTAAGTTACTTGTTCTCTAAATATTCTATCCTGATGTTACAGATCTTATCTAATAAGTTTGCCCTTCAGCTGAAAAGCTATTATTCATTAAAACGATATTTTTTATAATATCAAATTCTCATGTTTAAGAATAGATATTGAAACTAAATAAATCAACGACTAATCTTATATCTCTACTTCTCTAAACTAATATAATAGATAAATAATAGTTATCAAATTAAAAAAGTTTTTACTTAAATCAAATATTATTATTGTTTAATATGATGAATACATATAAATTACTTTATCATTATCATTCATCAATGATTTATTTTATTTTCTATTAAATTTTACTTCTTAGAAATTTTAAAATATTTAAACCTATTTTTTCCATTAAATTGAATGATATGAAATCATAATAATTAAAAAATCTGAATTTTTTTTTGTTTATTTTCAATTTTTTAGATATATATATGTTTTAGTAATTTATAAGTCTATTAGTAAAAATAGTAATAATAGTAATAAATTAAAATGTATAATGAATAATTAAGTAAATAATCAATTAATCTATTTTTATTGTTTTGAGGATTGGAGATAAGATTTTTTTTTGATTTTGAGGAATTATTAAAATATCTGTATTGAGAAATAAAAGGAGTTTTATAAAAATAAAGAATATTGATAATAATTGATTAATTTTATGCAATAATCCATTTTTGATTTTGGTAAAACAACTTCTACTTTTTGGCATCTCTGTGATAAATGTTTACTTGATGTAATACATGTTATAGCATATGAAGGAATAATCAAATCTTATAGAGTCAGAATTCCTGGTTGGTTGTAAGTAAAGAATAAAAAAAAAATTTCTTTTAATGAGTGAAAGCACTTTGTTCAAAGTTTCTGAGCTGTAACTTAAAAGAGCTCCTTTATTAACAATGCATGTTTAATTTATTGATCCATCTTCAGATCATTTTGTATAACTAAATTCAGATGAGACTTTATATGGGTTTCGAATTTCATATTAAGGAAAATGTCTTGAGATCTTTACATCTGATAAAGTTAATTATGAAGTTTGGAAGTCTCATTTTAGACTGAATTGTATTTTGAACAATTTTCATGATGCATTTTCAGTATCAAAGATGATTGGAAAGGGTAGTTTTGCAAAAGTGTATTCAGCAACTAAAAAAGAAAATAATAATTAATATGCAATAAAGGCCTTCAGTAAAAGCTATATGTCATAATAATCAAAGGGGATTGAAAGTCTATTAAATGAGATAAAAGTAATGAGGAGATTAAATCATCCTAATATAGTAAAATTGCATGAAGTTCATGAAACAACTAATTCAATTTATTTTGTTTTAGATATGATATAAGGAGGAGAACTATTATAAAGGGTTCGTGAAACTGGTATAAATAAATATATATATATTATGATAAGGTTTTTTACCAGCTGATACAATGTAAAAGCTTGCCTTCAATTTAATAAGTGCATTAAGACATATGCATTAAAATAATTTGATTCATAGAGATTTAAAACCTGAAAATTTGTTATTAAAATCAACTGATAATAATTATGAAATAGTGTTGGCTGATTTTGGTTTAGCTACTAGTTTAAATGAAGAACCTTTATTTAAAAGATGTGGTACACCTGGTTTTGTTGCACCTGAAATTTTAGAATATGTAGATGGATTAGAATTCTATTGTGATAAATGTGATGTATTTAGTGCTGGAGTAATCTTATATCTTTTAATTGTATTATTATATTATATAATTAGACTGGTAATACTCCATTTGCAGGAATTGATTAAAAATCTATTCTTAAAAATAATAAGCTATGTGAAGTCGATTTTAAAGATTAATAATTTAGGTTAGCTCCAACATAAATGCAAAATTTAATCCAATCTATGTTAGTTAAGAAACCTTCTTTTAGATTAAGTTCAGAAGATGTAAATTATTATATATTATCTAGTGTTTAAAACATCCTTATTTTAAAGAATTAGCTAAAGAATATAATAGATAGATTGAAAAATATTAGAATAATCTTTAAGGATATTCGGAATTTAAGAATGCTGTGAAAATAGGCACTTAAGAGATTGAATAAAGATCTCCATTAAATTTCAACTCTTCTGAATCAATCTCTTCAAATATCTCTTAAAATAGATAAGATTAAAGAAAATCTTCAATTGTGGTTGGAGCTTCAAAATTTAGTTAATATAGTGCTAAATTATCAAAATAAAATTCAAGAGAGATTTCTGGTAAATTATTTTTAATCATTTAGATATACCATAAAAATAGGAACCAAAAAAATAAAAGGATTTACATAGACTTGCTCTTACTAATAGTTAAATGAAACATATGGCAAATAGTAAATAGGACAGTAATGATGATCCAACTGCTGAAAATTGCAATATTGGTGCTATGGTCAGATAATACAATTCTACCAGATAAATAAGAATTCCTGATAGTACATTGAAGATAAAAGAGTGCAATACTCCTACTCTATAGAAGTAATGAGTTCATTCAATTCTTTTTATGTATGTTTCTAAGAAATTAATATATTTAATATGATGTATATATATTTCAATAATTTTTAAATATTTAGCAATAATAATAAGAAAGGGAATGAATAATTCATTTTTTTGTATTATTTAATTGTGATTCAGAATAGATTGAGTAGAACATTGATTATTGATCATTGATTAAATCTTTAGTATACCCATACTCTTAGATTTGTCCTTTATTAATAACAATAATTCTAAATGATTTAAAGAATAATTACTTATCACAATTGAGTATTGTATTAATTCTGTGAGCAATAGTAATAACTGTGCAACTCTTAAAAGCTTTTGTAATAGTTTCTTATATTTTATGTTCAGTATCAACATCTATATTAGCAGTAGCTTCATCAATTAAGATGATTTTGCTTTTTTTTAATATTGCCCTAGCGATGCATAATAACTATTTTTCACCAGCACTTAAATTGTCTCCTCCTTCATATAATTAGGTATCCAAACCATTTCTATTATCTGCTAATTTATCCAAACAACAATCCAATAATACTTTTTTGATTTGATCATCTGATATCTTGTTTAATGGATCTAAGTTTTCTCTTATTGTTCCATTAAAAATAACAGCATCTTACATAATGCTTGTAATTGATTCTCTTAATTATTTTAAAGATACATTTTAAGTATCAATATCATCAATTAAGATTTATCCTTAAGATCTATCTAATAATCTAAGAATACTCATTGTAATAGTAGATTTACCTGCTCCTGTTCTGCCTACTATACCTATCTTATCCATTGGATTAATATTAAAAGATATATTATTCAAGGCATAAGGTAGATTCTATCTATATTAAACACTTAAATTTTTGAATACAACAGATCCTTGATTTGGCCAATTATTTAATATAACTTTTTTCTCATTTCTATTCTCTTTTTCAATCATTGTAAATTCTTAACATCTTTCAAAAGAAACCATGTCATTTTCAAGTGAACTCATTGATTCAATTGTTTACTGTATATTCATATCAATATTTGATGCATAAGTCATTACCAATCCTGCTAATGCTGGATTATTAGTGTACAATATACAATATATTATAGCTGACATATTTACTATTAAACTTGCTAAACCTAATATCTATGTAAACCAAGCATTTACAATTACTTAAGCACTAACTATCTTTCTATTTTCATCTAATTTTTATCCAAAAGATTTTATAAATTTATCTACTTATTAATATGATCTTATAATAGTCAAACCAGTTAGAGTCTCTGAAAAATAACTTAGAATTGGACTTTTACTCATTAATTCTAATCTTTATAATTCTCTACTCGCTTTCATATATATCCTTTATATTCTCAAACATACTCCAAAAAATATTGAAATTGGAAATAAAATTAAATATGTACTCGCATATATATTTAAAAAAATATGACTGGCCAATTGACTCACTTTTGTATATAACCAACTAATATTCATATATATTTCAGTGTCAAGTTAATTTATATCTTTTGTTAATCTATTTATAATACGTCCTAAAGGCACTCTTTCAAAAAATTAACATTAATGTGCATACATTAAACAATTCATCATTTCATCATGTATCTTTGATGATGATTTTATGCTTTATCTAATTATTGTTAATGCTCTTATAAATGCTAATAAAGCTTAAAAGCATCCAAATATAAAGTATATCATTAAATATTAATAATTACTAAGTTAATAAGTTTATAATGTCCATTCTGATAACCATAAACTAGAACCTAAGTAAGCTAAAATCCAAAATATCATAATTATTAATACTCCAATAAAATTACAATATCCTCCACCATATTAAAAATACTAATTAAAAACTTCTAGACCAATATCTCCCTTTTATCTTTCTTCTGCAATAATAATATTATCAATTTGATTAACATTTTGTTATTTACAAGTAATATTTGTATCTACTTAGCTTTTTTAAGTCTAAATATTGTTTTCATCAACTTCTTCAACCATATTACATTTTTGAGCTATATTTTGAAATCTGTTACTCAATCTAATATTAGCATATATGCCTGATTCTACAATTTAACCATTGTCAAATAAATAAATATAATCTGCATATGCACAATAATTTAAAGAATGTGTTATTAATATTCTAGTTGTATTTTTTAAATAATTTAATATGCATTCCTTCATCAAAAAATTACCAACATGAGAATCTACTGCACTTAGTGGATCATCTAATAAATATATGCTAGCTTCACTATAAATAGCTCTAGCTAAACTTATTCTTGCTTTTTATCCTCCAGATATATTTATTCCTTTCTCTCCTATTACAGTTAAGTCTCCATTAACTAATATTTCAATATCTTATTTAAGACAAGAAAAATGAATTGCTTTTTCATAACTTTGTTGATGATATGGATTTCCAAACAAAATATTATCTTTAACAGTTGCATTTTAAATCCAGGCTTTTTGACTCACATATGCAATTTAGCCATTTATTTACAATTTTGGATAATCTCTATAAAGCATCTCTCCCAATAAAGACTATACAAATGATGTTTTACCTGATCCTACATCTCCTATTATTGAAACTAATTAACCAGGTGGAATCAATATATCTATATCTTTCAAAATTTTCTCTTAATTCTCAATTTATTATTTATTCCAATAAAAATTCCCCTCTTTTACAGAAATAGCAATATCACTATCTCGATATTCTTTATAACTAATACATTCAGTCATAATTTCTTATGTCTATAAAAATAATTGAATTCTATTCAAGCATAATTTTGTTTCTAATAATGCTGTAATTGATATTGGTAATTGTTAGATCGTGATTTATAAAATCTAAAATAAACTTATTATAGAAAATATTATTGAAGGATTCATAACATTACCTAAATATATGTAAAATCCAAATGTAGAACTTAAAATAATTTAAGGTGCTAACCAACCTGATAATATGATTATAGCTGAATAAAATAATCTATCTTTTAAGCATTCTACTTCTCTTGAACGTAAATTAAAGACTTTCTATAAAAAGTATTACTCCAAAGCATTTATTTTTATGAATTTGATTTAGGTAAAAATTTCATTTATTTATTTAATACGATTATCTTTGGCTTCTAAAAGCTTTACTTATGATTTTATCACATTCTCACCATTTTTTATATTCAAAATAATAGTTAATAAAATTATTACAAATCCAATAAAAAATGAAATTCCTATCAAATGATACATCAAAATCAAACTTATAACTATCATATATTATTAAATAATACTTAAATAAAGAGGAATCATAGCTAAATTTAATAAATCATTAGAAGCTAAAATCAACTTTTAAGAGTCCACTTACATTAAGTTTGTAATCTCTCCAATACTTCTATCATTATTGCTTAATAAAGATATTCTAAGACTCTTTCTTATTATTAACATACTGATTACACTCATCATTTCATACCCTAATTTTCTCTTTTCTTATTATTAAATAATATTACACTTAACATTCTTTAATGAGATTAAGTTAGTATATTTGACAATCTTATTAACAATATTAAAAAAATCAAAATAATTCCATTTTCTAATTTATGTTAAACATCAACAATGTAATCAATACTCAATTTTATTAATATTGGCAATATTAACTAACCTAAAGTTACTAAAACCTATATAAATAAAACTTTTGTTAGAGGTTCTTATACATAATATTATGATATTACTTAAAAAAAACTTGAGTAACTCCTACATTAAATTTAAAGAAAAAGGATATCTTCCTGAAATATCAATTTATTGATTAAATCTTTAAAATAGTAATAGAGTCTTCTCTTACTCATTTAAATCATCAATCATTTCAGGCTCCAATATTTCTTTCTAAGCTTTCTTTACGTTATTTTAAATTTTTTTACTTCTAATATTGGGTATGCTTTGAAAAGCATTATTTTTGAAATTATGCTTTCAGGTTATCTTTTGCTTTAAAAGTCTAAGTTGATTAAGTGAGCATCTTATTTTTCATTTGGGTGTAACTCATTTTCCATATATTTAAAATTTAAATAAACATAAAAAAGTAAATTAAATGATTTATATGTTCACGTCAAAATCATTTTCTTCTTTAAGAAAGAAATAAAATAGAAATTTAAAAATGGTTGCTTAGATCCACCCAGCAGTGGAAGGTTTATATATTTGATCTATCACATTTTCTATAATTATTTAAGCTCTTTGACTTCTTATAATTGTTTCATAATTCTTATGGATATAATTACTATATATTTTTATCTTGTTTTCCAATTCATTTTTATTTTAAGTTTATTAATTCATTTCCATTCATATTGATATTAATAGTACTTATCAATTTTTTTTTTTTCAACTAATAGTTATAATTCTTTAAGATCATCTTTATATTCTTATTTTTCTTCTTTTCATTAGGTCATATCAATTTAATAAATATTTTACAATATTGGATAAATGGCTTACAAGATTATACGGTTTTTTTTTATTTAACATTTATCATTAAATAACTTATAATAAATATTTATTTTTAAATAGAAAATTAAGGAATTATCAATAAACTGTCTCAATAATTTTATTAAGAGATGAACCTGCATTATTATGATTTTTTATGACATTTTGAATAATTATTTTTTTAAAATGATAAAATGTTATTTTAAGTATTAGATATTTTTAAAATCAATTTCAGAAATTTTTATGTTGATTTTCATAATAATGAAATTTTAAAATGATATTTTTGGAAAAGAATAATAGATTCTTTTTTCTGAAAATCTTTTCCAAGTTTTTTTAATCAATTCTTAAAGATATTGCTCAATAATGATAAAATAAATTAAATATTAATACTAATTTCATATATGAGTAGTCAATTCTACTCAAAAGAGACAAATTAATAAAATTCTAGTTGAAAAAAGGAGATATGATAAATTAAAATTCGAAAAAAAAACTTCAAAAGATTATTCAAATAATTATTGACTGAGAGTAGGTATATTAAATAAAAGCTTCATTGTTGAAATGAATTTTTAGTTATCTGACTACTTTTTGCAAAAACAAAGCTTATCCTAAATTAAGACTTTAAAAAGTATTATTAATAATTAAATTAGATTTCGTTAATTGAAATAGTTATAATTTAATTCCTCTTTACCTAAAAATACTTTTTTCCATTTTTTTTTAATATTTTTAAAATTGTTTAAGATGTAATTATAAGAAAAAATATTCAATTTTTTTTATTAAGATATTGAGGGGAAAAGAACAGCAAGAATGTAATAATCATCAAAATTTAAGGTTATATTATTAAGGTGAAAAATATTAAAATACTTGATTTTTTTAATTTTACTGTAAGTAAAATAGAAAAGTAAAGTAGAAAAACAATGCCATAACTTTTATCCATATAATTCAAGGACAAGGTAAAACTTTCATATAAAAAATGAAACTATTTTCTTATGATAAATTAATTTATCTTCAAATAAATTAGCCAAGAATCAATTGAATGGATTATGTTGCTAGAAATTTCAGAAAGCAGTTCTTAAGATAATGAATCTAAAGATCAAGAGAAACTGACATTTAAAATAAACTAAGACACGAAGTTAGACAATGTTTTATTGATAATTAATAAAATTCAGTGAAATATTTGTAAAATTCTTGATAACTAATATACTTATATATTAAAAATAAAAAATTAATATATAAAGAGTTAATTAATTTTTCTATAGAGAGAATAAAAAATATAAAATTTATGATTTAAGAGTAAGTAAAGGAAATAAAATTAATATATTTTAATATTTAAAATATATCAAAGATTTGCTGCAATACTTAATTTGTTGCATGTTTCTTCCAATAAACTTAAAAGATGTTCTTCTGATTATTCTCTAACTTGATAAAAATGAATGATTATAGTTTTTTTTTCTTCATCTATAGCATCTACTCTTGAAACAGTTTCTTTTTAGATTTTAGTTCTTAATAAAGCAATTTTATCTTCTAGCAAACTTAAAACTTTAGATTCTCTTTCTTTTCTAGTTTATATTTCATTTCAAATTGCATTTTCAAATTTCTTTTCCAAAGCCTAAACTTCTCTATTTTTAGTTTCATTTGCCTATTCTTTTACTAATCTATCTTCTTCTCTTATTTATATAATTCTAACTTTTTTTATAGATAATTAATAAATACTTGATCTCTTAATCCATTAAGTTTAGAAATGTTTATTCTTAAAATTCATTAAAAGTATCATTAGCTTATTCAAGTTTTTGAAATCTTTCATTTTCTACTCCAAATTTATATAATAGACAATTTTTCAGATATTTTTTTAAATACGTCCGCTACTTGATAAAACTTATTGATCTAATTTAGTAATAATAGTTATTACATAAAGATTTTGAGTTATATATTGTGAATAAATTTTATTTATGATTAAATAAAATATGTGTAGAAATAAAAATAATCAATCAAATAAAAATTTTGGATTTCTTTTTATTAAAGTTTGACCTATATCAAATTATGAAATATCAGCAAAATTAGAATTCGAACTATCAGTTATATAATTAATAGTATCATCTTTAGTGATTCTACTATTTTGACTTGATATTTGATTGATATTTTTATAAATTTGTTCAACATCAATTCCTCTAGATTTAACAGCTTTTACTAATTAAATTAATTTTTTTTCTTTTTCTGAGAGTGCTTGTATTTTTTATTGCATAAATGTGATTTAATTTTTTAATTCTATTCTTTTTGGAGAATTATGTTATGGTTTAGGATGTTCATTTTATTTTTTCAATTTTTTAATATTATCTAATTCTTCTTAATATTATTTGATCTTTTGTTAAGTTTCACAATCTCTAATTTTAAGTTCTAAAATAATATTATAAATTATAATTACCAAATTGAGATTAATTTTCTTTGGCTTATAATTCTAATTAATGAATACGTTTGATTAGAAGTGCTTTTTCGTTTTCATTTTGTATTTATTTTTTGAATTAATGATTATTAGTAATTTCTCTAATGATTTGTATTAATTAAATGATATAACTTGATACTTCTTATTAATTAATACATGTTCTTAATCCAATTATTAATTTAGATAATTATTCATTTAATTCTTTGATATTGTTATTTTTTTCAAGACCATCTATAACTTATCTGATAAGTCTAACAATTTCTTTTTTTGATGCTTCTTCTTTGATATGTGCTTATTCATAAAGATAACTTTAAACGGACATCATTTCACCGCTTAACTTCATAGTGGATTGTGTATTTTATCTACTCTTATATAACTAGAGAGCATACTTTAGTTGGCTTTTTATCAGGTGTATTAAAGCTATTATTAGGATGATTGTATTTGGAAGCGGATAATGATTTCATTTACAAAATTTTAATTTTTATATTAATTTTTATTTAACAGATGAAATAGACATACAATCCAAATCGTGAATACCTTTCAATTTATAAATAAATATGTCAAGAACAACATGTTCATTTAAGCAAAACAATAAGTATTATAATAGATAAGAATTCTTTAGCTTAGGGTTTGAAGGATCAATCTTTAAGATTGAATGCAGTGTTAATAAGAATAGAAGACATAATACCATTATAATTGTTATTAAGTTTATGTCATTTTGATTCAATAGTTGTATATGGGAGATTGAGAAAAAAAATGAACAAAAGTATTCATAAATTTTAATTGAAATAGATGATATAGTAAGTTTGGAGGAACTACAACAAATTATTAATGGTATATTGACTGCTATCAATCTAAATTTAACATAGACATAATTCAATTTAATGCAAATTCATATTACTGATTTAATATTGAGTCCAAAGGATTGTGAATCTATTTCATTTGGATTGAAGAGTACAAAAACATTAAAAGAACTAAAGATAACAAATTGTAGTTTAACAAGTTAGCATCTCTAAATATTATCTGAACCAATTCAATAATGTGTATCACTCAATATGCTGGATTTATCAAATAATTTATTAAAAGAAAATGCTGGAATGATAATTGGTAAGATAATTAGTTCACATGCAGGAAGAAGAGATGAAATGAAATGGGCAGAAGAAATAAGAGGAGATGGTAAATAATCAAACTTATTTAATAGAACCTCCTTAATAATTGACACTATAAGGATTATGTGAAATATTTTTACATTAGAATATGTTTGATGATAGATGTGTAAAGGATTTATGCAATTTTTTGATGTATGATTCTTGGACTAAAAATATTGGATTGAGAGAAAATCAAATAGGAGAAGAGGGTGTTAAATTATTTAGTTAAATTCTTGATACAAATGAATCCTTAATCTCTTTAGATTTAAGAGAGAATCCAGGCTTTGTTGAACCATACTCTAAGGATATATTTGACAAGTTGGTTCGAAATATCAAATTATTCAAAGAACAGAAAAATTATTATGAAGATGTAGAGGAAAATTAATAAGATGAGTATCCTATCATTCAAGAACAACAATAAGAGGAATCTGAGGAATTAGGTTAGTTGTTTATTCATTTTAGAATGCTCTAATTGTAAGGAATTATTGAGACAGAACAAACAATTGTAGAGAAGACTCCAATAATTGCAATAGAGACCAAGAAATGATTCTTAATTGATGAATTCAGAAAGTAACAAGGACGAATAATAATCTTAGGATTTACTAATTTAGATTGAGAATAAAATGAATGAGTTGACTACTTTAATGGATATGTTAGAATAATAGAAATAAAAATAATAAAATTAACAAAGGTAGGAATCTGGAAACAAAGGGAAAAAAAAGAAAAAGAAAATACTAAAATCAGCCATCTGACATTTAATTTATATCATTTATGTCAATTTAATATTTATTTGTTATTTATTTAGGAATATCCTAACAGGGAAGAATTAAAATATTTTAATTTAGACAACAATAAAATTGAAAACTAATTCCATTCATTATATTTAAATATAGGATGGCTTCTAAAATTCATGTCAAATAGTTTTACAAATAAAGATACTAAAATAATTAATAAGACAGATAAACAATCAGTGACTTATTTAATAGATAACGTATGGACTTCCAAAATATTGCATAAATAGCTTTATCATAAGATAAGAGTAAATATATAAGTTTGATATTATAAAGCAAAATAGTAATAAGAAACTCAATAGGTAGTTTTTGATAAAGATAACAGTACCAAACTTAACCTATTCAAAATATCTTATTTTAAATAAATTCAATTTTCGAAGTTATTTTGATAATATTATCTTATTCAACATAAATAGGTATATAGATATAAAATTGTGCAATAATCAATAAAGGGATTGATAAAATTGATAATTAATTGAATGAGATTATTTATTGAGTTTTTAAGTTTAATAAATAATAGAAATAAGAATGAAATAAAGAAAGGCTCTTTTGAAGAATTTATTGCCATATATAAAATAATGAATCGATTCTTTAGATAAATAAGTAGAAATGCAATATATAACAGATTGAATAATATTTAAAAAATCTCAGATTCCAGATTATTAATCTGAGAATTTGTCAATTTATCCTGGGGATTCAATAGATAAATAAATACCAGATGTTTATAGAACAGCTGCAGTATTTTAATTAGAGATTTTATGTGATCATATCGATGGATCAACAAACATTTTAGCTAATTTAGAATTAATAATTTCATAACATGCTATCAATATGATAAATTTGATTAAAAAAAATATATTATATAAATTATTAAATAAATCGAAATAATTGTATCTAATAATCAAATATAATTTAAAAATATACTCTAATTGATAGAATTGAGTAGGTAGGTAATTTTAACAATTACTTATAAGATATCCCTAATAATTTTATGTAAAATAATAATATAATGGTTTAATTTAAGTTTAATTTAGAAAGTTATGATAGAATTAAATATAATAATTAAGAAGGACATATCTATTAAAATAGATGTTGGTATATTTTAAGATTATTAATTGATTAAGATTATTTTGATAAGGATTTAATATTATTTATTACTGAATTAATTGCTAAATAGTCTGTATCATATTTTTTGAAGAAAATCAAAAATTAATAAGGAAGATTATGTAATCAATTTAAAAAATTTTAAAATTAGCATTTGAGAATCTGTAAATTGAAGATAATTATAGTGAAATAGAATGAGGAGAAGGAGCTTTATTAATTTAATTAGAAATATAAGAACTTAGGGATGATCTAAAAACTACAATATTTTATGAAATTCTTATATAAACAATCACAATCTTTTAAGATATTAACATCTTTAATTATGAAATAAAGAAATCTTTTGAATTCTAATTTAAATAATCTTATTATTAGAAATTTAATGGAATAAAAAAAAATATGAAAAAAATAAAATTAGTTATATACTAAAATAGTATATAATTTTAAGTATATGAATGATGAAGATTATTTCAATAATGAAGAAGATATAGTATAAGCTTAATTAATGAGATGATTTATTACAATTGATATCTTGATTATCTATTGAGATAGTTATCGTGAGACTAACGATCAAGTCAAAAATGAATTGGAGTTATAAATCATTAATTATATACTGAAGATAGTAAAGAACTTAAGATAAATTCGATAATTGCAGAAAGTAATTTAATAATTGAATATTTTGATTTATTATTATCATTTATTTGATACATCTAAAATTTTGCATCATTCTTTATTATTATATTAATTAATTGAATCACACAATATACAACAATAATTTTATAAATAATTATCCTTCCGAATGGTTAACTTTTTAATACTTCTTATCTTTAGCAAAATCATATTGTCAGCCCTCGTTGAATATGAAGGTATTTAATTTAATCATAACATTAGGGAATGATCAAAAATGGAAAGAAATTAGTCCATCTTAAATTACACTTGACCCTCCTGCTTTAACATTAATTAATTCTCCATCACCTATTTAATCCAATTGTCCACTAATATACTAATCAAGTGCTAAAACCTTAAATTTTAAAATCAATATCAATTAAGGTTACATAAAAATAAACTATGTTTTTGAACTCCATTTATAAACATCTTCTGGTACTTTTACATTTAGTGCTAATACTGTAATTCTAGAAAAAAAAGATTTTATAATTGATGCTAGTGCACTTAAATACATTTGTTTAACATCAAAAGATTATTAAGTTAATATGAATATTCAACAAATACCAACTACAGATTCTAATTTAGTTAACTTTAAAATGGAGTATACACATATTGCTACATATTATGTTACCAATTTTAAAGTATTTATTTAAATTTGTGATGATTATTGTGAACACTGTGATATTTAATTCTAAACATGTCTAACTTGTAAAGTTAATTTTGTCTTAGAATTAAATAAATGTGTTTGTAAATTAACTTTAAATGGTGGAACATGTTAAAATATACCTATGGGTGGACTTCACTTTTACTAATCAGATTTTTAACCTTACATATCAAAAACTTAAGTTTTTTCAGATGTAAATGGTTAATCTTATGAATTCTTTGCAGATTATAATACAACTTTCAGAAGTAAATAAATTAAAATAGATGGAATTAATATTGGAGGTTCATTTATTCAAAATGAATATATACAATTTAACATTAATCAAGTGATTACAACTCCAAGTGATTTTACAATAGAATTTGTAATTTACTGGTTAGGACCTCTAGAATTGTTCAGTAATATTGAAGTGAATGTAGATGGACTTACTTTAGGAAGAATAATGAATTTCGGAACTGTTGATCTCATTCAATTTGTTTAAGGTAGTATTTATAATAGACAAATATGCACAGTAAATGGTTATTCATCATGCTATAGATTTAATCATATAATAAATTTATTTTAAGTGGATCATTTAAATACAATACAATTAAAAGGTCATATGAATATAACAAATTCTAAATCAGCATGGGCATTTAGTGATTTTAAAATTTCTAAGATTTTTTGGTAAACAACAACTTGCACTAATTTTTTATATAATAATGAATGCAAATTCACTTAATGTCCATCATATGCACCATTAGTTGGTGTAAATACTTGTAAAGATTTACTAGAAACATATAAGTTTTCTTAATATTTAGTTAAACTATTCTATGATTATGGAAGTACATTTTTTTATAATGCATCTTCTCCATTCCAAAAAGGTTTTAATTCAAATATTCCTTAAATCTATAAAGAGAAGTTTATATTTGGAGGATATTAAGTTTGGTAAACGGATTATTTTGAAATGGTTTTATAATGCAACCCACATTATAAAGCCAGATTATTTGTGAAATTGTTACTTATTGACTTTGGTATTAATAATTAAAACAATGCGAATGTTTATTTCGATTCAATTTATAAATTATATAATTGGTAAAATTCAGTATAAGTTCCTGGTATTGATGAAAAAGGAGATATATTAATTCAAGATTACTTAGTAACAATAAGTACAACAGATTTTGAAGTTAATCATAATGATTAAGAATTATTAGTTTCATTTAATTGTAATGCATTTAATAGTGGATATTGTGCATTGTATGATTTCTTTGTACTAATAGCTCTCTGTCCCATAAATTGTTTAAGATGTTCTGATAGTTCAACTTGTTTAGAAATGAAGTAAGATTGGCCAATATTACCGATATATTATGATTGTCCATATGGTAAGTTTTTGAAATAAGCATAATGTAGGGATTGTATTAAAGGTTGTAAGGTATGTAGTAATAGCAATACATGTGATTAATGTTTTGATGATTACATATATTACAACAAATAATGTTTTTGTAATATTAATGGATTGTCATCTGGAGAATGTTCATATAATTGTCATCCGATGTGTTAAACATGCACATATAATATATCTGAAGATAGAAAATACGATTTAAGAACATTTAATAGAAAGTGGAGTGGTTCATTATCATGTTTTACTTGCGATTCCAGTAAAGGTAAAGTGATGAATATGGAATCCTGTGAATGTAAAGAAGGATTTTATTTAAATGAGAAATATGAATGTTTACTATGTCATGGAACATGCAAAAATTGTTTACTTTCAGGATAATATTGTACAGAATGTTATGTAGAATAAAATAGAATATTAGAGTCTTAGAAATGTAAATGCTAATAAGGTTATTTTGAATTAAGTTAATCATATACTTGTATTAAATGTGCAGATCAATGTAAAACTTGTGAATTTTTTGAAACATATTGCACAAGCTGTTTTGTATCTTAAAAGAGAAGTTTGAAAAAGAATGTTTGTGTTTGTTAATTAGGTCATTATTAATAGAATGATAATATAATTTGTTAAGAATGTGATGGGCATTGTGAATATTGTTCAGATTATGCTTTATGCACATCTTGTTATGATATTTAATATAGATAGTTATAAGTTGATAAATGTATTTGTTAGAGTGGATATTATGAAGGTGTAAGTTTGGTTTGTCAAAAATGTTTTTAGAGTTGTGCTGAGTGTAATAATTCAAATGAATTCAATAAATGTTCTAAATGTCCAAAGAGTAGGATTAGATCTAATGTATATTTAAATGAATTTGAGTGTTTATGTAAAGTTGGTTATTATGAGAATAATGAATTAGAATGTATAGATTGTAGTACATATGTATATCCTCCAAAAACTCATTATTGTTATTCATAATGCGGTGATTCTATAATTTAATGGAATGAATAATGTGATGATGGTAATTTAGAAGCTAGAGATGGTTGTAATTAATGTTAATTATCAAATAATAAATGTATTAATGAGATTTGTTTAAAATGTTTATTAGGAGATTGTTAATAATGTATAGATGGATATTATTTGGATAATGATTTTAGTTGTAAAATATGTTCTGCTCATTGTAAAACATGCATATAATCTGAGAATAAATGTGTAGAATGTAAATTTTAGACAGATAAGAAAGAATGTATAACTTGTATTGCTTCTGCTGGATATACAATAATTGATAATGAATGTGTTACTATATGTGGAGATGGAATAAGAACAACTTAAGAATAATGTGACGATGGTAATAGTGATAATGGAGATGGATGTTCATCTTATTGTACAGTTGAAGATGGTTATATATGCAATTAAATATGTATAAAAATAGATTATGTTGATATCATATTGACCCCATCTAAATTTGATTAAATTTATTCTTCTTCTAGAATTATTTAATTAACTTTTGATCAACCTGTTAATATTACTAAAACACCATTAAAAGATTCTATTACTCTAATTACTCCTATTTAAAACTGCTTATTTGTACTTGATGAAATTAAAGATACTACATCTTACATAGAAGAATTTAATTTAGTAAGTATTTCAATACAAATCCATCTTAATTAAACTCATAATACGCCTCAAATTACAGTTATTATTAAAAATGATACTGATGTAATATCTAAGGATAATTTCTCCTTTAAATCTAGAAATTAAACTATTACATTATTATAATATTAATCTCCAAGTGATTCTGAAATTAGTAGCACAGAAAATCTTATTAAATTTAACTCATATATTTTATATTTGTTAATTGGTTTTGCCATATTAGCCTTTTTATTTGGAGGATTAGATATCTTTTGGAATCTTTTAGATACTTTATAAATATTATCATATCTTAAATATTTAAATGTAGCATATCCATATAATCTAGATGCTTATTTTCAATTATTTGGATTTGCTGAATTTGATTTCCTTAAATCTAATTTTAGTATTGAAGATCTCTTATCTTCATCTATTGAAGTATAAGATCCTGCACTCAAATTTAAATAAGAAGGATATACATCTGTTTTTTTAATCAATATTATTTCTATTTTTATTGTAATTGCTACAACTATTGCAACATATATATTGTTTCATATCATCTTTTATTGCATTTATCATTATGCCAATTCAATTACTACATAATAATAATCAATTCATAACAATTAATCTTCTGATGAACCAAATGTTATTCTATTCTTGTGTTTTAAATTAACTAGAAATATGCAGAAATATTTCTACAATCTTAAAATTTAATATAAGACTGCTATTTTACGTACTTTTTTAACTATTTCTTATGATTTGAATTTAGCTATCTTTTTATAACTTATTGCTTATACTACTACTTCATTAATACTTGGATTAAGTAGTCTTTTAGCACTTTTATTCCTTCTTTTATAAGCCTTTTTCATATATTTTGCTATTATAATTATGAGCAATAAACCATTTTATTTTTAATTAACAGAAGCATAATTAAAATATGGTGCTTTATATGAAGGAATTGTATTAGACAGAAATCCTTTTAGTCTCTATTATAATATTATACTTTTTACAAAAAAACTATTATTTATGTTTTGTTTAGTTTTCATGTACGATTACCCTTTATTTCAAATAGGATTTGTATCTTTATTAAATGCTTCATTCTTTAGTTACATAATATATAATAAACCATTTATTGATAAATCAGAATATTATAAATAAATAATAACTGAAATTCTATTATGGTTAGCCTTATTGTTTATATTACTAATTGGTTTTGCATAGTAAAGTGATTCATTTACATATTAAACTTATATAAAAATAGCCTGGATTATTATTACAATACTAACACTCTTAATTTTTATATAATTGATTATTGATATAAGATAACATATAATATTTCTATTAGAAAAATATGAGATTCTTAGAATCTTAGTAAACAAAATTAAATCATTGCATATAGCTATTTTTTCAAGATAATAATCTATTAGTCATGATGAATCTTAAAGTCTTGTTGGTTCTAGTAGTAGAGCTAGATTAAAACATAATAACAGCAAAAATACATTAAATCATCAAATTTCATAAAAATAAGTCAGAAAATTGGTTACTTTTAGAATAAATGATTCAATTTTTTGATAATATTGATATATTTATATATTATTATAATTTCAATCAATATCCTCGATATATACTTATAATTTATTTTTTGCAAGTATCGCAAATTTAGATTAAAATTTTTTAAATGTCCCCATTTTAAATTATTATTATTATGCCTCGATAAAATTGTTTGATTATGAAGGTGATAAATAAGACATGACCAATAAATCACCATTCTTTTAATCTATATTAATCTCTTGTTTATTTCCATCTGATTAAACTTACATTACTTTTAACTTACCATCTTCATAAGTTATACCTAATAATTTTTTGGTCTAAGAAAACTTAATTTCTTTATTTTGCCTTCTTCATATCCTTTAATTTTCTCCCATACCAAAATTTTATTTTTATGTAAACTTTTCCAAACTTCATATTATCCCTTTATTTAATATGATATAAAATCATTATCACATGGTGAACATATAAATATTAATTTATAATCTTATTTCTCTTAAAATTTTAATGACCATTTCTTGTATTAAAATACAAATATTTATATTAAACGATCATCACTACCTACCATTAACATATTTGATTTCTAAGCAAAAACTAAAGTTTAAATAATTCTAGTATTATTTTTAAACACTGAATTTTCATCAATTTATTATTTTTTGTTATATCTTTTTTCCATTTTATTAATTCTTCACTTCCAGATGCAAAATAATTTTATCTCACCCATATTTTTATTGTTGAATCAATACTAGCTATAAATAGATAATCTTCATCATTAAAAAATAATGATTTTATATCTCTTTAATGACCTCTTAATGATTAAATCTTTTTAAATATACCTTACTTTATTTCCCAAATCTATGCATAACAATCTTTATTTTCTATAAGAATACTACCAAATGCCAAAAATAATCCTGTTTTATTTATTTATATATCATAAACTTATAATCATCTTTAAAATCTTATTCAACTTATTTTATAAATTCTCCTACCTTTTCATTTGTTGGCGTAAGTAGTAATAATTAATTGATCGTTTGCTTTACTCACAATATTTATAGCTTCAGAATACTTTTCACTATCTAATATCTCTTTCTCGCAAATACAAATTTTTTAGTTGATCAGTTATTCATCAATCTACCAATCTTTCAATAAAGAAAAGATGCCCATTAATGATTAATAATTTAAATTTAAATTCTACTCTTGCATCCTTAGATTTAAATTAACCTTAGCTTAAAATATTTTCTCTAATTATATTTATCCTTAATCCACAGACTCTATTTATTTTGATATATTTTTAGCAGCTATTAATTAAAATTTAGCCTTTCCTAATTCCTATTTCAACCAAATCACCTCATTATCAAAATTTATTAAAAATTCTTAATTAATTTGTTTATGAAAAGTTACAAGAATCACAAATTATTTGTCTCTCGTCTATCAAATGTTTTGCTAAATTTATATTTTCTCTTGGTTAACCACTATGCCTTTAACATTACATAGCATATTATTGTATATTTTAATTAAACATTTATACAAAAGCTTGTATCATATATTTATACATATTTTAAATATTCATAATTATTCAATAAAAATTTAACTAAAAAATATTTGATTTAATTCTATTGATGTTCTTAATTTATATTATGCCTATTTTATCATAATTTTATAGATATCATTATAATAAATCAATATCTTTCTCCTTCATCTTGATAAATGATTAATTATTTGTTTGATATTATTGCAAGATAATCTCCATTATTTGAAAAAAACAATTAATTCCCTTAACATGGAATTTATTATAATACCTTCGATACTCTATTTTCATTTACCATAAATAAATCTATCGGTTCTTTCCCTTTTTATGATAAAGCTAATAATTTTTTCTTTAAACAAAAACATGCAACATAATTTTCTTTCTATTATTTCAATTCTATTTCACTAATCTAATAATCACAAATTTAATTATCATATTCATAAAAATTTAAATAACCATTTATTTATATTCCAATTAAATCATTCAAATTATAAAAATTTAGTAACATTGTATATTTTTAAATTTACAATCTTTAAATCCATTTTTCATTATAATATTCAAAAATCTTGATTAAATAATCCTAATATGCAACTGCTAATAACTTATCACTTTCATTAAAACTTAAAGTTTCAATCTTTTATCCAAAATTATTTTATTAGGTATCATATATCCATTTTCCATTTACTTATTTCCAAAAACATAAATATTCACCTCCAGCTGCCAAATAATTTTACTAATTATTCATTAAAATACAATCAGCAGTTGAATTTAGTTCAATTAATTCTTATTCTAAACTCCATTTATTTTATTTTGTTTGTTTCCAAAAACGAATTTTTTTATCTTAGCATGCAGTAAAAAAGTTATCATCTTATGAATTAAAACAAATAGAACTGACATATCCAGAATGTATGTCTAAATTCTATTTCAGTATAAAAATACCATCTTATTAGAAATAAATCTGAGCATAACAATTTGCATCAGCTATTAAATTACTTGCAATCACAAAAATATTTCCCTTATTATTAAACTTTAAATCATAAATTATTTATTGATCAATCTATTTTTCATAAGTTTTTACATAATTCACTTATGTCTTAACAAATGATTATGTTGTTGATACTATAGATTATTATATTTATAATTATGATTATGATTGTAAAAATTATTAATTAATTTAACTTTCACCTTAGTTCATAAATTATTCAAATTTTGTTAATTTTTCTATCTTCTATTTTACTTTCATTAAACCTTCTTCATTAAAATTTACTTATTCTGAATGTAATTTTAAAGAATTTTAATCTTACAAAATTAAAGCACAAAGCTCATCACTCATATTTTTTATTAATTCTCTATTTATTTAATTCTACTTTAGAAATTAATCAAAAGAATTACCAGGTTTTATAACTTAATTATTTTATATGTTTTATTTTTCTTAAAACAATAACTCTTCAATAGAATTTAGATAATCATTAATAGAATCCTTCAATTACCTAAATAAATTTTAGTTTTTATCAAACTTATTTTGCAATTATTATTATTAAATCTAAATCTTTTCTAAGAAATCATTTACAACATTTGTTTCAAATATATTTTCACAATGATTAAAATCACAATCTTTACATAATAATCTTGACTAATTTTTCCTTAAAGGATACGTTAAATTTATAAATTCTATCTACTTCTTGTGATTAACACATTCAATAGAAGTAAAGATTTGACTGATTGAAGTTTACATTGTAAAATAAATAATTAAAAATATAAAATATTCTTATTAGAATATTAATTATTAATCATATAGATTGTATATAATTAAAAATATCATTTAAGTTTTCTAAATTCTTTTTTTTAATTCATTTGTTTATTAGCTTCTATCAATTCAGTAGAAAACTTTTTAAAATATTTTTTTTTAATGATTACTTTAAATTCATCTTTCAAATGATGTTTTTATTTATTAATCAAAATAATTTATTATAATATACATTACTTTATTAACTTATAAATTTACAAATTAATCCTTTATTTAAATTCTTACCAATAATCTAAATAAAAAGTGAATATATTATTAATTCTAATGATAAAATTAATTGTAAATTTAGAATGATAGAATTAAAAATAGATGAGGAGAGTAGGTATTATGTTATGTTTATCTAATAAATGAAGTACTTAAAGATATAGACATATTTATATTAACAGTTTTTTAAATTTCTTACTAAATTTTATTGAATTCTTCATTATCATCATAGAATATTGTTAATTTTTCTTTATATTCATTTAATTTCTTAAACAATATTAATAATTAAGTTAAAATAACTTCATCAATTGTAGTAGACTTAAAAAATCTAAAAATGAGTAGATATCCTAATCTATTTAGTATTATTAATATTCCTTGTTTTATATTATCAGGAATATTTTGAATGTGAACAAATTCTTATGATTCGCACTATCGAATTACAAACTGCTAATATATTTTGTATAAATGATAAAATTGTGTTTCAATTTCATGTTTTTATAATTTTTCACAATAGATAATTTGATGTTGATTATTCAACTCTATAAACTAAAAAATCTTATTAAAAGTTTTTCTTTCTAAAATCAAATCTATCTTTTCTTATCTATATCTTTTCAATCTAATTTTTAAAATTAATAAAAAATGATGACTACAATTTTTAAAAACAATTGCCTATTTTTATACACATTTTGTATTTGAATTAATGATTTAAAATACTTCATTTATTCAAAGTTAATTATTTGGTTACAATCTTCTCTGTTGTTCTTCTCTATCAATAAAATAATGTAGTAGTAAATATATTAATCATTACTGTATATTTTTATACTATTTTATTTATAAATAACAATAATTCTTTATTATTTATCCTCAAAATTCTGTTTTTCATCTTTACATAATAAAATTAATAAATAAAATATTATTATCATCAATTTCTTTTATAAGGCTTACGAAACTAAAGATGTTGAATTTCATCTTCAGTTTCAATATTTTCTACAAGCTCTTTGATTAATTTTTCAATATCAGACCTGTACTTTCAAATGATATTTGATTAATCTTGAATTAATGAAGAATTATTTTTGTCAATTAGCAAATTTAATTTATCCAAATGGTTTCTCAATTCTGAGATATTCAGGTGGATAAAATTCTTGGTTCTTCTTATTAATGATATTAAAATTTTACATAACTCAAAAATTATGTGAAAACTTTACTTATTTGTTTATTCCTTATAAATTTTATTACTGTTTCCCAGAATTAGCCAATGAACTTCTTATTTCAGATAGTAATTGAAGTGAATTTTTAAAACAGAACATTTATAAGACATTATTTTATTTTTAAATAATTAATAAAAAAAATAATTAAATTTGAATTCAAAAATGAGTTCAAAGTAGTTAAAATTTGAAGAAGAATATGAAAATCCTAATAAAGAGAATGAAGGTCCTTAAGAAATTATTCAACACAATCTTTAACATTCCAATAGACCTCCATTAACAGATATTACAGATGTTTTATATCCTAAAAAAAAATCAAAAAAATAATAATAGTAATAACAATAATAAAATGTATTTATGTCCACAGTCTCTTTAAGATGATATTAAAAACACATTCTGAATTGTTATATATATATAAATATTTTCTAATAAACATATAATTTTTTTTTCCTCAAAAATGACTTAAATTCATGGATGATTTATCATTTATAATAATTAATCTCTAGATAAAATGTTTGTGATCTCAATGAAAATCAAATCAATTAAAATTCTAATATAATATTTTAATGGAGGAAACCAATTAAAAGTGAATGTTTAAATTTAATATAAATTTTCAATATTATTAGCTGTAAAAAGAACTTGTAATAATGATAATAAATTAAAAATTACTTAATACTTACTTATTTAAATAAATATCTAAGGTTTTGTTTATGATAATTTAGTAAATTAGAAGTATTACTATATTTTCTATTGATCATAAAAAGATATTTATAGTGTAATCAAATTTATAAAAATTATCATTCAATCTTAAAGAAATTACTAAAAATAAATCTAAAATCTTTTTCTATATGTATCACTATCAACACAACTAATTTATTGATCTGGTTTATGCATTCCGAACCAGGTTTTAAATTTATTTTCTAATTTTTTAGTACTATTATATTCTTAATAATAATCAATAATCCCTATTATAATGCCAACATTATTGTTTAACTTAAATAGTCTTTTCCCTTATAAACATTAATTAATATGTCCAGTAATTATCATTAATGAATAATCCATAGTATTGGCTTCAGCTAGAATATCACTTTCTTATTTAATCTAATTCATTAAATCTAATTTCTTATCGATTGAGAAATCTTCGAAAAATCTTATTTTTTTAAAATCTTCATCTTTTCCTTTTAATAAAGGAATTGTTTAGGCATTATTTTACATTAATAATTGCTATTGCTGAAACTGTTCATAAAAATTTTTAGTAATTCTACTACTTTAAGCTCCTTTTAAATCATATATACTGATAATTTAACTATTTTACACTTTATGTTCATAAAATAAATTTTCCATTAAGACAAAATAAGAGTTATTATCTCGATCTTTTAATTTATAAATTCCAAATGTTTTTGCTAACAAACAATTTTTATTTGCAATTATTTTGAAATAATATTAATGGAATATATTTTTAAAATACCTGTATTGAGTTCCTGAAACAACTTTTAAAATATACTTTTGATTAAAAGTAAATGCAAACTCTGATTATAAGTTTCTACCCATATTATACAATTAAGGAGTTTCAAAATCTAATTATTATATTGAATCAATAATATCTTCTCTATCTATAAATTAACCAAATTAAGAATGGAATAATGAAACTAATGTGTAAACACTACTTTGTAATGTTATATGATATTCTTGAATTTGCTATCCAATACTATATAACTATTATAGGAGGCTTATGATCTTCTCCCAAGAAGTTTTCTTTAATTTATCCATTTATATTATTATTTTGAAAGAACTTAAATGTTAATATAAATCAGATATAATAAGTGATATTCATGTTTAATTATTAACAATTGATCAAATAATTTATCATTAAATTTATATTAAAGCAATACTAAAATAAATAAAAATATGATAATAAATAAATTACAAGCACATTCAAGATTTCTTCTTCAAAATTCTATAATATTATTATATCAATATAGAATATATGAAATCTAAATTTAAAACAAAAAATTCTAAATAAAAAAAAAAAATATTAAATTATAGAATTAGATATGGATTTTATTGTCTAAAAGTCTCAGATCATAAAAATAGGATCATTATCAATTGTGGCGCTCTTGATTTTCATTTGCTACTTTTTAGATGTTGGTTTTTACGAATCTTCAACGATGTCTTCATCTCAAACTGTTTATTTTACATATACAGCTAAAATGAGAATAGAGATTATGGGTACCTCAATTACAATTGATATTGAAGATTGTAATGGCGAATATTTTTGCTAAGTTGTTAAGCAAGCTCCAATTTATGGAAGTATAGACTTAGCTATAGCAATAATTATTGTATTGATAGAAATCCTTTCATTATCAGTCTTAAAAGATAAAGTTAAACCAGATTTATTAAAAAACTTAGTTTTAATAGGTTTGGTATTAGGCTTGGTATTTGCTCTACTTCTTATGTTTTAATTTTGGTTTGCTGCTATTGGATCAGATATTTACAAATTATGTGCAGGTAGTCAAATTTGCATAGTTCTTTATAATTTATTATTCGGATTTGCTTGCTTTGTTTAATTCAAAGCTAAATCAGGCTCAGGATAAGAAACATTATTGACTTGATATAATTATCTAGTTCAAATTTAAAAATTTAATATCTTTTTATACAAAATCACCTCTCAATCACAATTCTGTTATATTCTACAATATAAATCCTTTTTTACATCATTAATAATATAATAAACTATTTAAATTATTTATAAAATAAATCCTGGTACTTAATTATGAATTTTCATGCACCCCTCTTATTAAGATGATTATATTATTAAATATACTCATTTCTGATTATCTATATATATAATTTATCAAATTTAAAATCTTTAAGAATAGATTTTAATTTGCTAAAGTTTAGGTAATTTGTTCCAAAAAATGCTAATTTCTTGGTTATTAATATTATCTCATATTCTTTACATTTATTTATGGTTTTTTACTGTAAGTCTTAATAATCTTATCTTATCAATTTCCTTTATTCATCTGAAAATTCATACTGTAAAATTTATAGAGAGTTAGAATTAACATATAATATTACTTGGTTTCCTTTTTATTTTTCTTTATTTTTCTTTATTTTTCTTTCATTTTCTCTTTCATTTATAGTTGTCCATAATAATTTAATTCTTTGGCAAATATAATTTATCTTTCTTTAAGTTATTTTTATAGGTATAAAATAGATATTAGAATTATCTTTAGATAATAATTTAGGTTTCAATAAATTTTTTAGTTTTCAATTCCTATACAAATAATGTATATATAAAATTAATTATTTAATAGAAATCTTATATATTGCATTAATGAATAAAATATAATATAATTAATTTGTATTAAATAATTCCTTATTAATTATTCAATCATTTTGAGTTCTAAGTTTTGGTTTAGCAAGTCTCTATATTAATGATTTTTATTTATCAGATTTAATTGATAATTATGCCTATTTTAATGGAGGTAATTTATATGGATATTAAGGACTAAAGACTTATGATTCATATTTTCTTAATTGAAATGAAAAATCAGGAGAGAAATATGCTTTGTCTTATACATTTCGAATGACATATGTATCTCTTCCTGTTCCATCACTAAAATAAAACTATCGTTTTTCAGGTTTGAAATGAGCTTTTTAAGGAGAGTATGTACCATAAGCCCCTTAAAATTTTAGTAAAACAAATACAATTTTAATTGGATGGCGTTTTTTATAATTTGAAATTTCCAGGATAAAAGCCTCCATTATCATAAAAAATGTATGAATCTCTACCTGTTCCATCTTAAGAATATAATTTGGCCATAGATTGATTCATTATGAATAATTTAATTTAATTTTATAAAAATAATAAATAAATATTGATTTTTTTGATATTATCATACTCTTACTTATTAAGCTACTATAGTATAAGCTTGAGTAATGATTTTAACTTCATTTTCTCTTTTAGCAGATCTAAGATTGTAATTAGATTAGACAATTTCTCTTTCATTTCTATATTATTAAAGTAAATCTTGAGCAATAGGTAAATCTTTTTATATTTAATTTCTAGACTTTGTTGATAGTGTCTATAATATTAATAAATTAAAATTACATTTTCTTCATTTCTTCTTTTAAGTGTAACTAAAGTTCTAGAATAATCAGCACTTAATCTTTCTCTAACTTCTGTTACTTCTTTTAAAGTTATTTAATAAGCCTATGTAACTTTAGCTTCATATTCATCTGCTCCAGCATTTTCATTTATTCTTTAATCCCTAATATTTTCAAGTAATTAAATTATTCTTGTTACAGTAGGTACATCAAATCTATATTTATTATAAATATATATTTACTTTGTAGTTACAGCTACTAAAGCAGTCAAAGGATGATTAGGTCCTAAAGAATTTCTAAGTTCATCAACATATTGTTTTGTATGTTATTAAGAAAGAATTGTTGTTTTATTTTACTCTGCAAATACTGCTTATTATAATTTACCAATCATTTCATTTAATCCATCTATTGATTTTATATTATTTGTTGTTCTTTACTAATAATATGTATCAAAAACTATTTTACTTTTAAAGTTTCTATCTCACTTTTGTATTAATTTCTTATTTCCTCTTCTTTTGAATTTAAAGTATTTAATTATTTCTCTTAAGATTATTAAGTACCAATTAATTTGCTTATATCTTCATTCAATTCTCCTATTTATTGATTCAATCGTTGTAATTCTTTTGCAAGCTTTTCTGTTTGTATTTCTAAAATCTCTATTTCTACATTCAATTAACCAATTTTCTAAAGTAATATTATTAAATTCTTATACTTTTGCATATTCTTAATCTTCAACACTTTAATCAGCAATTAATTAATCTCTAATACTTTTTATTTCTTTTAACACTTCTTCTACATAAGAACTTTATAACATTTTAAGTTCAATAAGACTTGCTAATTACTTTGAAAAATCATTTTTTAGTGACATTTTATCCATTTATGCCATAACTGAATCTACTTTACTTTATAATTCTGTTTAGAATGCTAAAGTAATTAGCATTACTATCAAGATGACTTATTTCATCAAAAACGGTATAATTAAAATATTATTATTTTATAATCATGGACACTTTAGATGAACCATTGGATGTACTTAAATTTTCAATTGCTTAATAAATTTATATCAAAATGAGAAATAATATTGAACTTAAAGGAACTCTAGTAAGTTATGATAATCATTTGAATATGATTATTAGCAAAGCAGAAGAAACATCATTTCAAGAAGGAATCAAAACAAAAAGAAAATTAGATGCACTTTATCTTAGAGGTGATCGAATCATTCTAATTAGTCCTTTAAAGAAGGGTATAACTTTATTATGATCAATCAATTCTGTTTAATACATATATTTTCAAATATTACTTCAATATTTTTTAATCAATATAATGTATATATGAAATATCAATTACAAAATAATTTCTTTATTTTTATATATGTATGTGGAAATAAAGAACTAGTGATTAAAGCAACTGATTTTATTGATATGTAACACATTATCATAAATGCTATTGGTATTGATGCTAAAATTGTTAATAATAAATTTAATTTAAGTATATTTGGCTACATTCCTTCACAATTTTTACATTCCTACAAATTTATAAATGTTTTTAATGCCCATATATTTTATATCAATCCAACAACAAACACTGCAAATCCTATCTTAGATAATAAAACTTTTCTTATTGTCCAATGATTTAATCTTAAAGCAATATCCTGTCGATTATTATATTTTTGCATTTTCTCCTATCATTATTATTATGCGTTTTATTACTTATTTAAATAAAGTTTTAACATAAATTATATAAGAAAACCCTGCCAAAATTATTAGAATGAATATATTTATTAACAAATGCTTAAATNTATTATTAAATTCTTATACTTTTGCATATTCTTAATCTTCAACACTTTAATCAGCAATTAATTAATCTCTAATACTTTTTATTTCTTTTAACACTTCTTCTACATAAGAACTTTATAACATTTTAAGTTCAATAAGACTTGCTAATTACTTTGAAAAATCATTTTTTAGTGACATTTTATCCATTTATGCCATAACTGAATCTACTTTACTTTATAATTCTGTTTAGAATGCTAAAGTAATTAGCATTACTATCAAGATGACTTATTTCATCAAAAACGGTATAATTAAAATATTATTATTTTATAATCATGGACACTTTAGATGAACCATTGGATGTACTTAAATTTTCAATTGCTTAATAAATTTATATCAAAATGAGAAATAATATTGAACTTAAAGGAACTCTAGTAAGTTATGATAATCATTTGAATATGATTATTAGCAAAGCAGAAGAAACATCATTTCAAGAAGGAATCAAAACAAAAAGAAAATTAGATGCACTTTATCTTAGAGGTGATCGAATCATTCTAATTAGTCCTTTAAAGAAGGGTATAACTTTATTATGATCAATCAATTCTGTTTAATACATATATTTTCAAATATTACTTCAATATTTTTTAATCAATATAATGTATATATGAAATATCAATTACAAAATAATTTCTTTATTTTTATATATGTATGTGGAAATAAAGAACTAGTGATTAAAGCAACTGATTTTATTGATATGTAACACATTATCATAAATGCTATTGGTATTGATGCTAAAATTGTTAATAATAAATTTAATTTAAGTATATTTGGCTACATTCCTTCACAATTTTTACATTCCTACAAATTTATAAATGTTTTTAATGCCCATATATTTTATATCAATCCAACAACAAACACTGCAAATCCTATCTTAGATAATAAAACTTTTCTTATTGTCCAATGATTTAATCTTAAAGCAATATCCTGTCGATTATTATATTTTTGCATTTTCTCCTATCATTATTATTATGCGTTTTATTACTTATTTAAATAAAGTTTTAACATAAATTATATAAGAAAACCCTGCCAAAATTATTAGAATGAATATATTTATTAACAAATGCTTAAATGCATATGGGCAGAATTAATGAAAATAAATCGAGTATAAATCAATAGCTGCTAATAAAATGCAATACATAGTTCCAAATAGCCTACAGTGTAATTTTAGAATACCACATTGATTATATTATTGGGCAATTAAAACACAGCCATCTTTTATCAAAATGCACTAACCATATCAGAGTTATCATATTTCAATATATATATATATATATAATAAATTAATTACTAATTGATTGATTAAAATTAACCAATTCTTTTCATTATAAACTTTCTTTCTTTCAATTAATTTATTAAATAAATTTTATAAAAATTATAATCTACTCAATGACTAATTCTAGATTAACCTTTTTGCTCTTATTCTAATTATGATATTTATTAGTTTAATCTTTCTATTTCCAATATATATTATAAAGATGTGAACTCTTATTACCTAGCATTTTTCATTAATAATTCCATTTTTGTTACTTTTTACTATTCTTACGCATTCAATTAGCATTAATAATTGATTTGCTCTTTTAATTCAAGAACTTAAGTTTGTGTTTGCTTTAAAATTTACTTGGCATTCTCATATTAATCTTAATATCTTTTAAGCTCATTACTCTTTTCTTAAAATTTTTTTTTCATTTATTCAATTAAATATTTATCATCTTAATTGCAATTAAGTTCCTTCTTGATTTAATTATTTTTTTAAATTGATTATTTTAATTCAGATATTTATTGTTATTGTGAAATAATTTATTTCTGTAAATTGCTAATTTTAAGATTTTTTTCAGGATCTTATTAAATTTCCATCATTATTATCTATTCTCTAAGTTCTACATTTTCTTTTGTGCTTAATTAAATTGCTTATTGTAGCTATTTAATAATATCAAGGTATGTATTCATATAAATTTATTATAATGATAAAAATATTATTTCTGAATGTAATATCATAAGAAATATGAAAATATATAAATTATCATATTATATGTTTTTGTCTTAACAAAAGCCTTTATTTGTGATAAAGTTATTCTAAAATATCTTGTAAGTTGATTATTAAAGATATAAAAAATTATTCTAATAAGACTTTGGATATTCATTTAAAAAACTTCTCTATTTAAAATGCTCTTGTTAAAGTGATTTTTATTTCACACAGATATTTACTTAATCATGATTAAATGGAGGTTCTATAAATAAACTTGAGAACTCATTAATTTTTATTTTGAAATCGTTAAGCTATAAATCTATGTAAAACAATGAATTTTTATTCAAAATTAAAACTTTATTTATCTTCTAATAAATTCCTTATTCTAATTATTTATTATTACATAAAATTCTTGACTATATCTTTAATCTATATAAATTCTAATGCTTATTGAGTTTTCTTATGAAAAATGGTAGATTTGATTAGAACCATAAAAATTCTACAAAGTCTTCTCCTATCCATAGCATTATGTCTAAATTATGATAAAAAAAATTTTTTAAATTATTTAACAAAAATAAATAGAAATTGCTCATATTTTTATAGTAATAAATATAATAAATTATTTCACTGAAAATTAGAAGATTGAGATTGTATTCTATTGATAACATAAGATGATGTATCTTCTTTTATAGTTTCATTTGATTTAAGTTCAGAGATTTTATTAAGTGCCTCTTATATGGATTTTATAAAAACAGGTTTTACAACTACATGTATCATTCCTGCATCAAAGCATTATAAATGTGATTAATAATCTTCATGAGCTGTGCATCCGATAATTGGAATGTAACAAATAGTATTATTACTAATTAAATTTTCTAATTATTTTGTCGTATCAATTCCATTCATTATAGGCATATCAATATCCATCATTATCATGTGTATTTTATTATGATTCTATATGACGATATCGAGACATTGCTAACCATTAAATGCTTTCAAGAAATTTTTAAATCCCATATTTTTTAACATCATACACAAAGTTTCATGATTGAAAGGTTCATCATCAACAATCAAAATGTATTCGTCAGTCTAAATTTATTATTATTATTATTAGAATTATTCTGATCGAATTATTTACTCTATTTGATGAGTTCTAAAACTAGTTGCTCTGGATCTAAATTAAGAATCTAAAGATTTTTTTATTGTTTTCATTCGAATTCTTTATTGATGAAATTTTGAATTGTTTTGATGGATTGTTATTTAATTTGGAACTTAAGGTTATGGTTCATTATATATATCAGACTATTAAATTAATCTTAATGAATTATAATTCTTTATATCTATTTATCTCTATGAACTTTATTTAAATTTGGATATTCGAGGACTGGATTAGCTATTAAATTTATTATGTAAACTTCTCAATGATTTTTAGTTTACAAAGTTATTATGTTTAGATTTTCCAAGAGAACTTGCTGATTAGATTTCTTTTATATCACTAATCGAAAAAGAGAATAGTAATTGATCATTTGATACTCTTAATTGTAAACAACTATTATCCCCACTCAACAATTTTATTAGTTTATTTGCTAGAAATAGACTTAATCCTAGTTTTATATTTCGATTATTATCCTATTATTTGTTTAATTTATTAAATGTAATGTTTTCAAAAGTTTTCAATTAACAATTCAGTTTTTTGATTTGTTCTTCATCCATACCTTATCCACTATCTGTTATTGAAAAATAAGTAATTTTATTCATCTAATCTAATCTGATATCCAAAATGATACAACCTCCCTCATCTGTAAATCTATAAGAATTATTTAAAATGTTTAACAAAACTCTGATCAATTTGTTTGAATCAGTATAAACAAATAAAGATTTAGGATCTATTTTTTTAAAATTTTCATTATTTATTTTAAATAGGATATCAATATTTTTCAATTTGCATTAATATTCAATTAGATCATATACTTCTAATAATAAAGTTTTCAAATTAGTTTTATTATTCATTAAAGGTAATTATTCAATATCTATTGATAAATAATCTAAAATATCTTATACTAAATATAACTGTAATCTGCAATTCAAAAGAGCTGGTTACAAATATAATTTTTTAATCTAATCAATAACTTAATCATCATCTTTGGCTGTAATAAGATGTCCAATTGCACTGTTTAGAGGAGTTTTCAATTTATGATTAAAAATGTTAATTAGATTTTACTTGTATTTTAGAATTTTATGATTCTATCTCACAATAAGACCATTATCTAGTTTTTAAAATGACAAAATTTATTAGTTATTTATTTAAAAGTACTTAACTTAATATTAAAATTTTGTATTCAGAAGTGGATCATTATAAATAGCTAAAATGAAATAATGGGTATTTTTAGATAAGAAATGTAACAATTCTTTACTTGATCTAAAAGTTAATTATTATTGTAATTGCTATGGATTGGAATCTATTGATAATCCTAAATCATTATTTAAAAATAATTTATAAACAATATCCTTATCTTCTTGAAATAAATTTATTTAATCCCCCCTAGGACTCCAAATTAAAGTATTTTCTGTCTATAATCTATTTGAAAATGGTAACTAATGATTATTTTCATTTATAGACTTTTAATTTTAATCAAAAATTTAAAGAACGCATTCCTATTTGAATTGCTTTATCAATAACTTAAGGCATTAGTAATAAGATTTCTGTTTAATATATTAAGAATAACCTTCTAATAATAATATCAGGATTAATTAAATGCAATTATGATCCTTTCTTTTGACATTATAAACCCATAATGAATCAAGAGAATCGAATACTATTTGATTCGAAAATAATAATAAAAAAAAATATTTTGGAGTTCCAACAAGTTTTAAAAGATATAATAATGGCCATGTCCTTGATGGCCCATATAAAATTAAATCCTTTCCATAATATAAAATGATAATTATTATTGACAAACATTTATCATTATTAAATATAAGACTGACTAATATTTTATAACATAAGTACCAATACTACACAAAACAAGCAAGGAAGAAATTATTACAGCTATATATGTAATATTATCAAAACAATATCCAAAGTCAATAATAGACAATATTGACAGCAGCACTCTCATTCTTTTCTCTTTGGAAATATACATTTTAATAAATAAATTTATAATATTTCAATCCTTACTAATTAATAACATTTTAAGCTATATATGATGCATTCTAATTAGATTTCCAATTATAATGACATTTTATGTAATAATTATTTTGTTTGTTATTTGTCCTTTATTTTATGGAATTTTATTTCTTTCGCTTTTCATATTTTATAATAATATATATATCCTCTAATAATATATTATTGTAACACTGATTTTGTTATAAATTTAAAAATTTGTTACTAACTCTATCAAATATCATCTAATTATAATAAATAACTTCTAATTATTTTTATTTAATTAAAGAATATATTGATTTCCTTGAAATAATAAACTCATTAAAATATTATTTAATTATATAAAAAGAAACTTTATAAATTTTGAAGGAAGTACTATTTCATTTCATTTTTTTGTTTGAGATTGAGTGATATTATTATGGGAAGAATTATAAGTTCATAAAATCTATATATATTAAAAGTTGATTAAATCAAATTAAAATTGTAAAGATATAGATTAATTTTATATAATGAACAGTTATCAAAATACAGATAAAAATTCATTAAATTATATGTTTAACTCAGTAGCAAGATCAAATGCTTATTTTTCTGTTATTTAACATTCTAATTTGATTTTATTTAAAATATCATCTTTTTTATGGTGAACTTTAATGAATCCTTGTTCAACTAATAATTATATTTATTAGTAGAATTGAACTGATTAATTAAATTGTTATTTTTCTATTGAAAAATCTTTATTCTCATTAATGGACATAAGAGATTATGCAATAGCAATTAATCTATAAAGTGAAACTTTTTGTTTGACCTTTAATTGTTCTTTTACTTTAGATTACTTTTTATTTTTCTTTAGATCCCTAAATATGGTTGCATCTGTTTTTTCAGGATTTCTAGACGCATAATAAGATGATAACAAAATCAATGAAGGCAATTTAGGTAATTTAATTTTGGAAATTTCTAATGTTTAAATGGCAGTTTTTGTTTCTGCTTATTTTTTTTTAGATTCTTATTATGATTTTTACTATGGGTTTTTTTAAGATTCAACTTCCTCAATTAAATCTTTAAATTCTTTAGAATTAATTTATAAAAAAGGGTTTTCAAATAATAGTTGTCTTGCATTGATGTATTATTATTTAATCAGAATTTATTCCTCAGGTGTAAGATTTACACATTAATAAATAAAATTTTCGAATAAACCTACAGCAATTTAAATTAAATTATTTAAATTTATAGTGATTATAGAAAAAGTAACAAAGACATCTTTGGCTACCTAACCAGCAAATGCCCGAACATTATCTTATTTCTATACTTAATAATCTTCTAACATGATTGCTCTATACATAATATGTGCATAAATTATTCTTATTTATAATACTTCATCAAATGATTGAAAGATCATGGTAATTCCCAAAGGCATTTCAATAATATTTGGAAGCTGATTACAGATAAAAATAAAGTTAATTGAACAAGTTTTTGATTTGATTTCTGAAAGCGCGAATAATTTTTACAAATAAATAAACTCAATTTAAGGGTATTAAGGAGCATCAATAATAATATAGGCTCTAAATATGTTTGATATATCATACCGTCTGTTTTTCTAATTTGATGTAGATATGATAGAGTTCAATCTGATAATTAGTTCACTAAACTTGCTTATCTTAGTTAATTCCTAATTCCATAATTCACTAATTTCGTTAACAATAGCTTGTAGTAAACTTTATTTTGTCAAACACTAAATAATACTAATCATTTCTACCTACATCATATTAATTCTTTTATGAGGTATTTTCAATTTATCTAAACAAAAATGTACAGCTGTTGTTTTACCTACTCCATTTGGACCAATGACATAGGTATTATTATATTGACCTAATATCCAATACAATTAGTTATATTAAGGTGTTTCTGAAAATAATTCTTCTAATTGTTAAATCATTAATTTATCAAATATATAAAAATATAAATGAAATGAAAAAATGTAGAAACCCAAAATAAGGCTACAAAAATATTTAGAGAATTTTCACAATCTTTGAAATGAGGCTTTATGTTTAAAACTATTTTTACCAAAATTACTGATCTACTTAACAATATCAAAATAAACTTCATCTGCTATAGTATGGCTGATAAATTCATTCCAAATAATTAAACTAAAGGCTAGGCAACTTAAGGCTGTATGATTTTTTATGGGATTTCCATTAACCTTATTTACATCTAGAGGTTATTTGGAAATCTTATGTTTTGTGCTTCAATAATTCTTTGATAGCAAGTTAATAAAAACTTTGAATTAAATAATATTAATTGCATTGTGCAATAGATTTATGAGTTTTAATACAACATAATCCAAACATTAAAGGATTTGATAGTTTTTTTAAACTTGAATATAATCTTTAAGATATAGCTCAGTAGAATTTTGACTTTGTTCGACTATTTAGAAGATAAATTAGAATTTAAATTAATACTGATAATCTAAAAATATATAAATTATCCAAATGTTATTATGCAGGATGTTCAATAAGTTTGATAAAATGATCAATTAATCTTGTTTTTATATTAGATTGTATTTAAATTTTGCTTTGTTGAAGTAAAACTTTGGGAAAGTAAAATTAATAATTTTTGAAGAAATTTGTAATCTTAGATTATACTAATAAATTATTTTATTTAATTAAATCATAATTATACAAAAAT